GTGCGTTAACCTAAAAGATGAATTAAAATTGGCGATAGTAAATAATAAATTCCTATTATTTCAGCTCACGTTGAAAATAACCTATTTCGTTGTTTAAAATGAGTTGGATCTTTCCAAAAATAAATATATTACTAGTCGTAAACATTTTAAATGGTACCATAAACATATGATGCTGGCTACTGTAAAGTATCCGAGAATTTTCATAATAATAACTAATGGAAGATTTTATATTACAAGTTGGTAATAATTTTTCTGGCCTAATTACAGTATTTTCAGGAGTATGCTGTCACTTTTATTTATATTTCTTAATCCACCACTGGATATAAATAAAAATAAACATAACATAATTTTCTGAGAAATCAATTTGGTATAAATATGTTTAAATGGGACGTAAAAGCACTAAATTAGTTATCAGTTATTTTTTATTTAGGTGTACAGAATGTCCCGTCAAAGTGCGCACAAATTAAAGACAAAACAGTATTTTAAAATATTTCAAGAGTAGTATCCAGAAATAGTTCTGCAAAATTTGATACAGGAATAGCTACACTTACAAATACAGGGTGTCCCGAAATTCATGCAACAAAATTTGGTCACAGATTCTTAAGACAAATTTAGGGGACCCGTATTTTTTATTTTTGCCAAGTGACCCCCTCTTTCGGAGTTACATCCCCCTGAAGTCCGCCCCTAAGAATAATCTTTTTTTATATCTCAGAACCCTGTTGTACGAGAATCACTAAATTTGGTACACAGGGGTTTTATGACATGTGGAATCTGATGGTGCTACATTTTTTGGCGGGTCCTTAAGACAATTTTTCGTATGATCGTTAAATATGATCGCATATTTAAATTTCTTAAAAATTATCAGTCCACTAGAAAGCCATTAAATTTTTCGTAAAACGCAATGTTTTCGAGAAAAATGTCAAAATGTGATCGAATGCATATCGTGATTCGCCATTTTCCTCAAAACATTGCGTTTTACGAAACAAACATCAAGAGACAAAAAAGTTTCTAAATTCAATAGCTTTCTAGCTAACTAATAATTTAAAAAAAAATCAAATTCGCGACCAAATTTTTCTGGTTTCAAAGACAAGGGGGCCCACGAAAAAGTGTTTCTCGCCAAAAAGCGTAGCACTGTGAGATTCCACATGCCATAAAACCCCTGTGTACCAAATTTAGTGGTAATAAAAGAAAAAAGAAAAAATACCGGTCCCCTAAATTTGTCTTAAGAATCTGTGACCAAATCTTGTTGCATGAATTTCGGGACACCCGTATACAGGGTGGGCCATTAGTGTGAGAAAGTAAAATAACCCCCGTGTTATTCATAATATAGAAAAAAAGTTTATATAAAAGTTGTACAGAATCAAATATTACATTTTTTAAATGGAACACCCTGTATATTTATAAATATATAAATTTCTGAGAAAATTCTATATATGGCAATATAAACAGTTTAACCTTTTTGTGCGGGGTTGCCAAGTTATGTAGAAAATTCTTCGAATTTTGGAAAAAAACATGACCTCGAAGAACTTTCAACTACTAACACTTGGAGCAAAAAAATTTGACACAGTTATAGGCAAATGTTAGGCAAAGACTCCTATATTAGTTAATATCGATATTTTATACAGGGCATTTTTTTAATACGGTCATTTTAAGAATGTTTAAACTTGATTTTATAAATTTTTCAAATGGAACACCCTGTATTTTATTGTTCTATATTAATCACATATCAGTCCACTTCAACTAGTTTTTAAGATATAGCAACATTTCTGGAAAAATCTAATTTTTATTATTTTCAGTCGCACGAAATGGTTTTTGGAAAAAACTGTCACATTGTGTCAACTTGTCAGTTCATAATTTATCATTCCATTTTGAGTTAATTTTATTAGTTAATATTTATTTGTGGTATTCCATAAAATAATAAAAATAAAGTTTTTTCAAAAATGTTGCTACATCTTAACAACTAACAATTTTAGATATAGAATATGCTTAATAAAAGTTGAAGTGAAAATTAAGTTTAAACTTTGTAAAAATGATCATATTATAAAAAATGCCCTGTATAAAATATCGATATTAGCTAATATAGGAGTTTTTGCCTAACATTTGCCTATAACTCGGTCAAATATTTTTGCTCCAAGTATTAGTAGTTGAAAGTTAATACAACTACTTCGAGGTCATGTTTTTTCCAAAATTCTATATAACTTGGCAACCCTTTTTCTTGAATATTATACTTTTATCAGAATAATTCATTTATGAAAAATATTTTTGACAAATACTCGCTTACGGGATTATATTTTATTTTTCTGCGTGTTTGACATTTAAAATTTATTGATTTTTTATTTATTTATGAAATATTGTAATGGTTCTGTAAGCACGCATTTACTAACGGTTAGTTATTATTATAGGGGCTTTTGGAATATTTAAAACAAATGTTTATATCAAATTGGGGTCAGCTAAACAGTTATCTCATACAATTAAAAATGCGTTATTGTTATGAGATTTATATGCAGGAATATTGGTACTCACCATTTTAAATTCCTGCGAGTTGAGCGATATCAGGAAGGTCTTAAAAAATTACCACCCACACAAACTGACACAACCGGCAGGTACGTCTTAAGTATGTACGCCGGAGAGCCGTATGCAACGGGCTGGCGCTGGAAAAGGAGCGAAATATTATTATTACATGCCAATTAGTGTGGTAATGTTAATGTTAATTTGAAATATTAGGTTTCGAACTTACCGTGTCACTGTTTAAAAATAGTGTATTTGTAACGACTGCACATCAGTGGAATAATAATCAGTTTTTATTATATTTAATAATCGTACGTGATGGACATTCGCTTATACAAACAAATGGCCGATGAGGCAATTGGGGCGCAAGTAGCGAAACAACAATGAGCGATTGTTTACTAGTATTTCGGCCGCGTTTATCTTTTTCCGGAAGCTGCGGGTGTTACTCATAGTTGGTCATACATTATATTGTGTTTTGATTTGACTGACTTGATTCGGTAAAATCACTGTAAAATCCGGCTTACCTTTATGGTTCACCTTGTACTGTACCGGACGGACGCGCGAAAAATGGTCCTTTCCGCTTTTTTCCCGTGTAAATGTGCAGGGATAATAGTTACAGGCAGTGGCGGCTGGTGCGCCGCTCCCCTAGAAATTTTCATAAAAAAATAATTTAAATTAAATTCAGTTTATGAAACACATTAAAAAAGAAACGTAAAATTTGTAATGTACAGTCAATTTAATTCGACTTAATTAATTCTTTCTACTTTACTCATAACTTAATTCATTTGAAACACTACGTGGGTTTGTCGTGGCTCGCCCCTAAACCTGCAAATCGTTACAACGGTGGTCATGGTTACCGTGGCGTAGCAGTACAACGCGGAATGGGAGCAGCGCAGTATTATTTCCAACATAATACCGAAATAATAAGAAATATTTGAGGTAATACTTGATAATATCATTAATACTGCGAGTAATACAAAATAATACAGATAATACTAATAATTATATTGAATAATACCAATAATAGTAAATAATACCTATAATATCAAATGGATAGTCGTGAAAGTAAATCTTTGAATTTTGTATTTATTTATGTTTTTTTGCAAAAAGAATAAGCGTATTGAAAAACGATTCCGGGGTCTGACTCCTGGTTCGACTCCGGGGATCGGCGTCCGTACATGTCCATAATCGCGTAAAAGCGGCAATACGGACATGTAGATTTAGCTCGTGGTTTTTAGGAGACTCCCTGTAATAGTTTACAGACCTTGAATGTGCTCTTCAAGGATATATACAGGCTAAGATCGAACGATGCAACTGTTTTGTCTGTGGTGTCGAAAACGCAGGAGCGTTTTCTTCTTACAAATCTACGAATATTTCCTCATACAAGAGCTATAAATTATGGCAAGCTACTAAAATAATTAAGTAAAAAAATTTGTGAAATTGGGAACATATTTTAAAGCATAGAGACGCCATTTTTTAGTATTTAAATATCAATATGTGTGTGTATACAAAGGTATAATCTCGAAAAATGTATCAAATGTTCGTTGTCTTTCGTCGCATTTTAATTTTTTAAAAATTTTCGTGGTCCATCATTTTTTCAAAAATTTTTAGGTCTGAAAAATTCCGGTAGACAGTAACGACTCAATCCAAAACTGCTGTCAGTTAACTCCGCCAATTTTTCAAATTTTTCCTTAGTTACAAAGTTTTTGTTAGGTAGGCAACATACAATACATACGTGTGTATATTTGGCTGCATAATAATTTATAAAACCGCCTTTAGAAACGCATTTTAATTTTTTGACGAATTTCAAGAAAATTCTCAAAAAAATTAGAATGCCGTCTAAAGACCCCTTATCTATTTTGAGCCGCAGAATACATCGATGTAGTCCGTTTTTATGTAAGTTGCTGTCCTGATGAAAAAAATTAAATAGGTATCTTGAAAATTACACGAATTAGAGAAACTCGTTTTAGTTTTGGATTTGCCAGTACCCTTAGTCTGGAGGATTTTTTAAAAATTTTTCCGAGCTATAATTTTTTGTCCCTCGTTTTTCTCAGAAAAATCTGAAAAAATTCCTGTAGATAACAACGGGCATGACCAAACCAAATCGGCATCTTCTCGTTTTTGAGATTTTTGATTTTGTTCCTTAACGGAAAATGCTAGACAATAATCCTTTACAGACCTTGACCTAGCGTTGTATCAAACTTACACACGAAAAAAACATGCACATTACATTACAAAAAAAGTTGAGACAAAATCGCCTTTAGATGAGCACTTAATTTTTTGAAAAAATAAAAATTCTTTGAATAAATTCCGGATCGTGAATATACTGGTTTTTCATGTACCAGTACTTTTTCACCCTGTATTTGACAGAACTGGTACTTTTTAAATATTACAATACGATACATCAATACCTTTTCAAGTATCAGGCATATCCAACACTGATCTATTCCTTTGTACTATTTTTTTATACTCAATATTTTTGTATTTTCCAGGCCCACAGTAACAATTACGGGAGAGAAAAATGCCAAGTTGATCTGTATCACGGACGAAAATTCAATCGTAGAGGCCGAGGACAACCCCAAGTCGGAAGACAAAGACTGCAGCACAGAAAAGCCGAAGCCTGTGAAACCCGTCTCATCTACGGAAACGCAAACCGTCGTTACGGCTAGTAAAAAAAATAAGAGCACCCAGAGGGCGAGAAAGAACGATTCGTTGAAGATGAAGAGACTCCCGAAGTCCTCAAGATACCTCCAAAAGTTGCCCAAGGATTACGCCCTCAGCGTTATACAGTACAAACTCGACTTCCACAAGCACTGCAAGCAGAACCCCATGTACAAGAAGACTACCAATGTGCAACCGTGGATATTAATGGCGAGGTAAGTTTTTGATATTTTCTCAATATTGAAGAAATTAGGTCGTTTGTGAAAACTTATTCTAGTCCGTTTCAGAGTATCCGACCAGCTGCTAGATAACGCCTTACTGGGAGTGGCCAGAGAAATAGAGCTGAACGACGTAGTTCAGCAGGTTTACGATTCGGAGCTCCATTAAAAAAAAAACTTATTTTTTACTTAGTTTGTTAATTAAAATGCCAAGGTGTCGGAAAACATTTATACTTTATTTCTCTAAGGGGCAATCGATCATTAACTCACAACAGAGGGAAAAAATGCATGAAGTTCCATACAGGTGAATATAAAAATTCAAGAATCACGATCTAATACACAAAAAAATACGTAAAAAAATACATATGCCAACTAATTAAGCTGCAATTATGCACAAAGATCTTTTGCCGCCACAACTCTTTAACTTAATTTCAGTCCATTTTCGTATTTGTTTTTATAAATATTCCAATGGGAATAGTAGTCCTCTGAATTTGTGGATAATTGCAGGATGTTTGAAATAATTTAAAAACTAACCGATACATTTACAATTCTAAACGCTACATTATCTTCTAATATCCGCCTGGTACATAAACGTCTTTCGGATACTCAATGTTTAGGATTTTGTGGCAGGCCCCGTATGCGGCCATTTTCTTTGCCGCCTTCTTGTTTGACCCTGCAACAAATTGTCATACGTTATAATATCTACGACACTTTTGGTAACAAATAATTTAAAGTTTCATATTTCACATTTTAGTCCAAGCATTACAAAGAAGTATTTGTAGAAATTACCTGAAAAAAAAAAATAGTGTATAGTAGAATCGTAAACTAACCTGGTGAGCTCGGTCATAAATCAGAGACCGTCTCCAAAAAACAAGTAAACAGCAGAGGCGTGTGCAGAGGTAAAATTTAATACATGTGGAATTTAAAAACAAATTGGACTTAAAATAAATAGTTTATGAGAATAAAGGAATATTTGATAGAACAGGGGTGCCAGATGTGAACTGATCCCCTCATCCCTTCATAATGCATAAAGAAATTATTTAATTTTGAAACCCTTTAAAACTGTACTGCACTGGATTCCTTGGCAGACAATGATTTATTACTTTACAATGAAAATGATCCTACTATAGGAAATTAAATTTTAAATTGAATTTCTTTAAACTCCATCGAAAATGACAAACATGGCCAAAAAAAATCACAAAGTTGCAAAAAAATGTTTTTTCTAAAATAACTAAAAAAGTTGAACTCCGATCGAAAAAACCGTTAAAAATCTCTTTTCTCGTAGATAGTTTATATTTACTTTCCCATACTTGCTATTTACTGTGTAAAGTATAGCCCGCAGCAAGCCAGAAAGTAAATTTTTGAAAAATTAAAAAATATCAATTATTTTTCGATATACAAGGTGTACCAGTTGACAAAATTTTTTTACTTCGACTTTTATAAAAAAATATTTTGAATAAAAGTTATCAGATTTAGAGGGAGTTAAATTATGGTGACCTTGAAGTCAATTATCAAAGTCAACCTTGATTTTTTTAAATGGAAACCCATATTTTTCATTGCAGATTCGTAATCTGTGGGAAAAAATATCTTTACTTTTGTACGAAATATTTTTTCCCGCAGAATACGAAACTGTAATAAAAATATGGGTTTCCATTCAAAAAATCAAGGTCGAGATTACTTTCAAGGTCATGATAATTTGATCCCCCTAAAATCCGACAATTTTTGTTGGAAATATTTTTCACCATTCTACTTATTTCTCGAGATACTAGTCTGAGAATTAAAATGGAAAAGTAAAAGTATAGTGCACTGGCGAGAGAACGAAGAATTTTCAAAAAAATGTGTCATACAAAAGTTAACGTATTTTTTCCCGCAGAATACGAAACTAATAAACATATGGGATTTCATTTAAAAAAAATCAATATAATCGACTTCAAGGTCTCACCATCAGTTAACCCCCTCTAAACTTGATAACTTTTGTTAGAAATATTTTTTTATAAGTCGAAATAAAAATATGCAGCCTGGTACATTAAAATGAGACACCTAGTATATTTCAAATAACTATTTCAATTTATTTATGAAAATAACACTTGGACGAAGAGATTTCTGACACTTCAAAAATTTAAAAAATATATATATATTTTTCTACACATTCTGGCACCAACAAACTTTTTATTTAAAAAAATACAAGTATTCAGGATTAACCTCTCTCAAACACATTATTGTAAAATGTTAATTGCATGATCTAGATTTTTTTTTAAATAAGTCGGCTCCAGGTCACAGAAAAAATATATATTTTTTTAAATCTGTGGAAACATGTCAGAAATTTCTTTTTTCAAGTCTTTTCATAAAATAAAACAGTTATTTGAAAAAATCATTCCCATTATAAATTCCGGGTAAGAAAATTCTGAGTAAATGCTTTTATTTATTTAACAAAAATCGAGTTTACTCCGAGTATCCCAATCCGAGTAAATGTTCGTCGTCAAAGTTACAGTTTAGCAGAGAAATTCATAACGGAGCACAATTTAGCAGAAGTTTTAGTTTGTGATACCTGCTGTTGTCAAGTTTTAGTTGTTTCTTCTTCTTTCTCAATAACTGACTGACCTAAAGTAAGCTTAAACGCCCCCCTGTAAATTTCTGGTATCGTTGTCGAAAAACGAAAAATAATATTCTTGGGCTCACATCGCTAACAGGTTTTACGAGATGATTCGTGGAAAAATTATAGTTTTATTAACAATTCGTCACCACGACAATCCTCACCTGTACCGATAAAGCTATCTGCATCGACAGAGCACCTGTAGGAATAGGTGAGGTTTGGTGGGGCGCCGCTCCTCCCGATCTCCTCAAAGAGAGCGTGCGGCAACATCTGGTTGATCAGCATCAGGGGATTCATGGACTCTGGATTGTCGGGCATCTTCTTTGCCGGTTTGTTCTCGTGAACCTTCTGGCTGTCGCTGCTGGCGTTCAATTGTGGCTGCAACTGAATTATTAAAATGACATTAGCATATCATTAAAAAAAAAAAAAACTTTACAATAAGCATACTTGCAATGTAACAGTTATTAGTATTATTCCATTATTAATTCTCATATTTTTAATATATTTTAAGTTTTTAAAACTAATTCAAATAAAAAAAAAATTAAAAATTATTCGAAAATTCCACCAAATTCTAAGGTAAAATGCAGAAATAGCAAGACCTTATCTATCTTGGCTAGTTTTGTTAAAAGTGAAAAGAAAATAGTTTTTTTTAAACAAAAGCGATACAAAATTTAATTAAACAAAACACTTACTTTAGGTCCTTTGTTGGGATCCTCGCCCCAACCAGTGAACAGCTTGTAGAGGGCGAAAGACGCAACGTGCTGCCAAGGCAGAGGAGGCTGCGTCCCATCCTCGGCGACGTCCATCTTTTCATTGCCCTCGTCGTCCTTCTTCATTTCCGACAACTTGTTGGACACTATTAGATGCTTCAAAGCGGCCTCGGCGGCCGAATTTTTTGCGTGTATTTTACTACGACCTAAAAAAGAAACAAATGAACACAAACGAATTTTATTAAATAAACAAATAAAATAAATCGGTGGATATCACTGTACGCCCCATTACTACGGCCCTATCCATTAAATGGAATAATGCCAACTCTCCGGTGCTCGGTACAAGGTGGACGGCAGCCGGTCGATCAAGACGATCAATCCGACAGCACCACCAAGCCCTCATCTACCACAGGCGCAACGCTAGGCAGCGTTACGAGACTTGCTGCCCTGCTGACTCCACGTGGAAACTCCTTTTGAAAAAACAAAAACCACTTACCGTAACCTATATGTTCAACGTCCTCGACCAAGACGGATGCCTTGAACTGGTTCATGTCCGTTTTGTTGGGGATTTCCTCCACGGCGTAACACGTGTTCTTCACCAACTCGTTCAGGATCATGACCGCGTTCTTGGGCTGCAACATCTTGCTCAGCCTCACGTTGCGTCTGCGCATCTTCTCCTTCTTGGATACTTCTAAAACGGAATACGACAATCAGGAGGAGACGATTTACGGGAAGAAAAATAAACGTCTGGTAATTTTTATTCAGTTACAAACGTTATCACTTCTCGCACACCACCGCTCGACAAAACACGTTTGGGAGACTCGGAAATTAGGTGCGAGCATCAAATTTGCGCAGTGATTTGTCATCAGAATGAAGAAAAACAATACGACATTGCGTATTCCAATTTAATTTTTTTTTTTTTTTTTTTTTTAATTTTTTTTTTTTTTGTTCAAAAATTAGGCAAACCATAATACACAATCCTGTATAATTAAATAGACAGTTGCAAATAGCCCAAAATGAAATTGCTCATAATACTCACTTCCGCCCTTGGCCCAGAACGGTTTCTTCTTTGGCGTATCAGAAGGATCCACTTCCATGCCCTCTCCGTTGGTATTTTCGAGGGCGGGATTGGGTGGGTTTACACCCGGGAGAACAGGCGGTTGTGACTCTACTACTTTCGCTGGCTGTTGTACTGGGGGCTGCTGCTGCTGCGGCGGCGGGGGCTGAGTCTGGTATCCCTGCGCCGCAACAGAACTTCTCTAATACAAAAAAAAAAAAAATGTAATACAATCCAGTAGCGTTCCGTTTGTAGTTCTGTGAAATATAATTTGCAAGGTAAAAATAAAATTGTGGGGCCAGACGGAACAGTTCAATTTCTGATATCGACAGAACCTTTTCTTTAGGCCGGAATTAATTTGCCACACGACGTAAAACTTTAGTTCATGGTAGCGAACAAGAGTACTGCTGCATGTGGCTGGGTACAGGGACTTTTTAATTAAATGTCACGACATTGTGTAAGGAATTAAGATTTACTGGATTTAATGGTCTTCCAAATGAAATTTTAAACATCTTACTTAATACAAGAAAAAACATAGTTTAAATAAATAAATAAATAAATTACAGGCTGTTGAAATATTCTATCGACACAATGGACAGAATGATTTTACCACATAAGTTTCATAGGCAAAAAAAGTTTAAAGGTTAAAAATTATAGAAACTTTTTTAGACCTAAAACCTGCAAGGACAATAATTGAACATACAGAAATATGAAAGTAAGTTTTTCTTATCATCAGAACATGTATATTTTTTATAGAATGCTTTCTTGCAATTTTAATGATTAAGGTTTCCTGGTACTACCTCTAATAGTAAGGGAGATAAGCACATCCAATTGGTCACCTATAACTTCCTTATTATCAGAGATAGACCCTTCCACAGTGTACCACTGTAATGTAAAAAAACATTCTACCTATCGAAATAAATAAAATAGACCCCTGAGTTTGGAAACCGATATTAAGAAAATGCATTGGAAAAAAAATTTGAAATTTGGACGATATATAGCCTCACTATTACTCTATTGTGTGCTAAAATTTCAGTTAATTGCGTTATCCCATTTTTTTGTTATGAATGAAAATGTTGAAAAAATCACGATTTTCTGCCTACAAAATTGATACCTCTCACTTTAACTCGTAATTTTTTGTTAATTGATAAAAAAATTCCAAATTTTTACTGACGATAAGTCGAACTATTGTCTTGAGTACTGTGAACATCGTTTATCTCAAAACCTCTTTTTTTTTTATTTTTAAGCAAAACAGAAGGGAGAGCTAACCCCGTAAATATTGTGTACTTTAAAAAAAGAAAAAAACTGACAGGTAATAAACAACTGTAAACAATTATCTGAAAAAAATTGTTAAAATAATAGTTGTAAATATTATATTCTTAAAAACAGTATCGGAATGGTCAATTACGTTCACGATACCATGCAGGCTATACAGTATAGTCTTTATAACTATTATTTAAAAAAAAAATAATTCAGATTTTTGTTTACAGTTATTTAATACCTGTCAGTTTTTTTCTTTTTTTTAAAGTACGCTATATTTATGGATAGCTCTCCCTTCTTTTTGCTTAAAAATAAAAAAAAAGAAGAGCTTTTGAAACAAACGACCTTCACAGTAGTTAAACTTATCGTCAGTAAAAATTTGGATTTTTTTTATCAATTAACAAAAAAATTACGATGAGTTAAAGTGAGAGGTATCAATTTTGTAGGCAGAAAACCGTGATTTTTTTCAACATTTTCATTAATAACTAAAAAATGGGATAACGAAACTAACTGAAATTTCAGCACACAATAGAGTAATAGTGAGGCTACATATAGTCCAAATTTCAAATTTTTTTTTCCAATGCATTTTACTTAATATCGGTTTCCAAATTCAGGGGTCTATTTCATTTATTTTGATAGTAGGTATGTAAAAAACATATCTCTGAAACTCAATGCTTGATGTTTTCACAATTTATGTTACGAACAATGTTTTTTTGACAAAAAGACAAAAGACTGGATGACACATATGGCGGAGCACACTGTTTTAAATGATTATCTGACCGAAAAACTAAAATTCATAAAAATGCTGTTCTGCATATGCTTCGATTTTTGAAGTAAAGGTTTATAAAGTTTTAAACTTTATATATTTTTTTGTCTTACACGTTTTCCGAGTCAGTGGACTTGAAATTATATTATTACAGCTTTACTCACTGCTAATCGACATACCACGGAAAAGAATGGCTTTGTATTTTGATGAAGTTAAAAGATACAAAAAATTCACAAAATGAAAAAGTTTAATGATAAAAAAGGTGTATTTTGTCAAAATAAGAGCATCACAACACAAAAAGAATTAGAGGATATTATAAAGGGAAAAGTGTAAACCAAATACGATAAAATAAATCTTAACAATTTTTATTTCAAAAATGTTTTTATTTTTTCTTAATTAAAAAAAAAGATAATGAACCTAAATAATTTAATGAAGTAAATTTTACTAATTATACAGTGTCTTGAAAATGGTTGGCAAAAATTGCATGGTGAAATTGTTCGATTTTGAAGAAAAAGTTCCTACAAATATATCCTAAACCTAAATTAGTTTTGAAGATCTAAGGCTTTAATTTTTTTTTGCAAAATATTAAAATCTATAAATGTGTTTCACCATAAATTAATGAAACTTGAACCAACAACTTAGCTAAATAAAGATAAAAGTTCACTAAATTTGCATTGAATCATGTTAACCAGTGGTATAGATGTTGACAGATACTACCACTGATAAATCCCAAAATTTCAACAAAAATTGAATAAGTTCATTTAATTTGTAAATGTATTTCAAAGAAATTATTTTTTAAATCATGAAATAAATTCACCATTCAGTTAAATACATAAAAAATAATTCTACACCACTTTCACTAAAATAAATATTAAAAAAAATCTAAGGTGCAGCAGTTTGTCCATTTCTATCTCTCAGACAATTCTATACTTCAATGCTAACAACTTTTTAGAATTTCTAACATATAATTAGAATCATATTTGCAAGAAAAATTCCTATTTTTTTTGTGAAACAAATAGTTTCATAAATTATGTTCGATATATTGAACTATGTGGCAAATGAATTTTAGATAAAACAAAGGAATATCTAGAAAATAGCTCATTTTGCAAATCAAATAATCTTTTTCTATTTCCAAAATACTCAAGTCGTCAAAATTCTGGGGTTCTCTTAGTGAGAGGGTCCTCCATATCTCCGCCACTGGTTGATGAGGTGTTTGCCACCTTTTTCAATATAAACAGAAAATTAAATACGATGAAAAAAATACCTGTAGTGTTTTATTTTTGCATGAAACCATTATTTAAATGAAATTAAAAAAATATAATATTAAATCTAATTTAGCAGACCGCCATGGCATGCAAAAATCTGATACTACTCTCCGTTTTTTGCTTAGTAATAGGGAGACAGAGAGGATCTTATCTGTAATAACAATGTCCATAGTCCAGTACGTCACAAATTGAATATACAGGGTGTAACGTAAAGGTTGGGAATAAATTAATCGGTGGATTCTTTAGTTTTAAAAATAAATTTTTGTCATATGAAGTTATGCTCTACGGGTTTTCTTTTCCAAGCTACAGGGCGTTAAAAAATATAAAAAAAATTAGTTTTTCTCCAATAACTTTCGAACATTAGAAGGTAATGGAATGAAATTTTATCCATAGCTTAATTTGATAATCCCCGAGTAACAGGAAAAAGATTGGCTTTGTAAGTTACTCAGTGGCGTGCGTACGGATTATACCGTAAGGTTTTTCGAAGAAAATTGTGGTAAGCCACTGGTGAAAACATTTTTTTGATATTTTTTTATTATCCACTTTTTATTTTAAACAAAATTACCCTCTTGCGTTTTATTCCTAGCTCTTGTCACTTTTCCGTAAATAAACGTTTTGTAAATACTATTTTTTCCCACTGCTAACATAGGAAAATGAAAATAAAAACATTATGAAGTATGCTTTGACCAAGCCACCAAAATTTGTTTTCAGATGTTTTCAGACAAAACATCATCGTCAGTTATGACATTTAGCTTTCCTTAAACGGTTGTATTTTGGTTTAGATCTGTTAGAAATGGACTACTCATTTCCAGAATTAGCAGATATGCATTTTATTTACGGCCTTGCCAACGGGAATACTGTGTTAGCTGTGCGACTTTAGAAGAAGTTCCAATTGAAACACGCCAGAACATGTGGTTTATGCATGATGGCTCCCCAGCTCACTTTAGGCGAGAAGTTAGAGAATACCTCAATGAAACGTTCCCCAATAAATGGATAGGTCGTGTAAGGCCAAGAGCGTGGCCTGCTCGTTCTCCCGAACTTAATCCGTTAGACTATTATGTGTGGGGGCACTTAAAAACCATAGTTTATTCCGTTCCCATTTCTGATGTACAGATTCTTCGTCAAAGAGTTGAAATGGGCTGTCAGCTAATTCGAGATATGCCTGGAATTTTTGGACGAGTAAGAGAATCCACGAGAAAACGCATTGAAAATGTACTGAAGTTGGGGGGCAACATTTCCAGCACATTTTGTAATCTTGTTTGTTGTTTATTATTTCTTATTACCTACTCAATAAATTCTTTAAATTCCTAAGTCACTAGTGTTTTTTTATTATTGTTAAAATAATGTGATACTTTAATATCATTTTCAATACAAATAAGTCTTTTTTTAATGCCTATTTGACCATTTTCGGTGGCTGAGTCAAAGCATACATCATAATGTTTTGTTATTTTCATTTTTCTATGTTAGCAGCGGGGAAAAATGGTATTTACAAAAGTTTTATTTGCGGAAAAATGACAAGAGCTAGGAATAAAACGCAAGAGGGTAATTTTGTTTAAAATAAAATGTGCATCATAAAAAGATATTAAAAAAATGTTTTTACCAGTGGCGTACCACAATTTTCTTCGAAAAACCTTACGGTATAAGACGTACGCACGCCACTGAGTAACTTACAAAGCCAATCTTTTTCCTGTTACTAGGGGATTATCAAATTAAGCTATGGATAAAATTTCATTCCATAATCTTCTAATGTTCGAAAGTTATTGGAGAAAAACTAAATTTTTTGAAATTTTTTAGCGCCCTGTAGCTTGGAAAAGAAAACTCGTAGAGCATAACTTCATATGACAAAAATTTATTTTTTAAACTAAAGAATCCACCGTTTAATTTATTCCCAACCTTTACGTTACACCCTGTATATTAAAAAAATATTTATAAAAGGAGGCTTTAGTGAACAATATTCTGTCAGTCCAGGTTACATTAATCTACGTCAAATATATGTATATGGGGATATTTGCATTTGCTTGATATTTTTCAAAAACTTTAACACCTTGTATATCAGAATCTACACCATTTAGAACAAATTCATGGCAACTTTTTCCCCAATATTGAACAAAGATTCTACCATTTCACACTTTCAAACCATCAATTGGGACACCCTGTACATTTAAAGTAAAAAGTGAAAACAAAAACATAGTAAGGTCTTACGAAAATTACTGTGGAGAAATAAAAAAAATAATCATAAGAAATACAAACCTGGTTCTGGTTTCTGAAGTTAACGCTGGTATTTGTATTCTGTGCTGATGCGACCTGCTGCTGCGGCTGCTGGTGAGGCGGTCTTTGCTGGGCGGCCATCTGAACCCCGCCCTTATTCTGGGCATTCAGCTACGTGAGCAGGTTTTATTGTGTCATTAATAAAAACCTCGTAAGGTCCGAAGCACCGATATAGGTGCATCTTTAACCGAGACGCCATTCGGACATCATACGGATAAAGATATCAACATTTTTCTTATATCTTGACCCTAATTTGCTCAACTACACAAATATCGGCCAATAATACAAGTTAACGACTTAACTTGCTTAAGCGTTAACTTCTACTACCGACCGTATTTAAAATGCAAGTTAGTTTCCAATAACTTTGATCCACTTCAAACTTTATATTAGGCGTGAACGATAAGTTAACGGAAAGCCATGGAAAACCAACAACGAAAAAACGTAAAAACAAAAAACGTAGTCAAGATACAATGTATTTGTTCGCCCTCCAAAGATTACAAGCATTTCGCATCTTATATGCCAATTTTCCCGTTTCATGGCACATACTCGTCGAGAGCACGGCGGTGCTCTCGAAAGCATGCGCAACCCTTTTGGTATGGCCTCAATGGACCTCATAATCTGTGCAGAGCGAACATAAAAACATAGGTGCCTATATGGTGCTACTACCACGGCTCTGCATAGCATTACCCGATGATAGTACCTATATAGTCGTAAAAAATTAGGTTAGTTCACTATCAATGGATATTCGTGAAATGAAAGGCATGTAACAAACATAGTTCTGGCAGCAATGAGATTACAATGGCCTTGAAATGTAAATGCGACATTTTTAATTTATGAATTTTGAAATTAGATAAAAATAATACGAAGGAAGTCTCTAGAAAGAAATTTGAATAGCAAAAAAACACCTCCATGTATTGTTTCGTTTTAAAACATACAAAACCATTTTCAATTTTAGCCGTTTTCTAAAACAATCCAAAACTTTCTTTTTACTGGAAATATTTGACCTTTACAAAGAAGTATTTGTAAAAATTATAGGAATTGGCCAAAATTGAAAAAGTTTCTGTATGAATGAATTAAGACATCAAAATATTATGGTTTTTGCTGTTCAAATTTTCTCTTCAAGAATAAAAAAATATGAGAAACCTCCAAAGCGTCCAAAACAACCTTCGCTTTACATTTCCTGAAGATATTGCATAAAAACTATCTAAAAATGCGAGTTTAACAAACCATAAATTTGAAATGAAAAATTTCCCAGAACTATATTCAAAACATTTTTAGTTGTTTCATAAAATCGAAATATCATGTTATTGAGTGACTCAAACACCTTGTACATTAAAACTCTTTGATATACTGGGTGGTTTATGAAAGGAAGATTCTTGAAATTAAAATAGACCAATTGACAAAGTTTAAACATAATATTTTGTCACAGTGGCAATATTTTCCGAAAATCATTTTCAGTAATGTTTCTCTAAATAAAAATTTCAAACAATCTATTCATTTTGTGATCATTATTAAAAGAATTGATCTCAGATACTCGAAATATTACGAAAAAAAATATATAAAACATATCAAACTGAAGAGAACATTTGATTGACATATTCAATTTAATTGCTATATTTTTCCATAAACCTATCAGTCTTATTCTTAATAAAACATACTGTATTTCCGTAAATCTTTAATATTATTGGAAATTTGACAAAACTTTTCAATTTATTTTCTTAAGAAACTATATTTTAGATTTACATTATACACATAGAGGATGACTAAATTATTTTCCAATATTTCTAGAACAAGTAGTTGCATATAAAAAATAAAAATACGACGAAAATTCTAATATCGCTACAACTATTTTTAATGACATTCATTGAACAATTTGATTGCTTCGGAATATTGCTAAGTTTAATGAAACTATTTTATCTTTAATCCACAGAGTAACTCTTAGAAATATACAGCATAAACCACACAAATAAACAGTTAGAATGTATGCGATAGGAATTAAATTAATTGTATTTAATATGAAGCTCGAAAGCTTAGTCGACATTAATATCTAATAAAGATTAATTCGGACGATTCGATTTTTGTTTGTTGTAATTACATATTTCTGTAACGTTTACAAATTTAAGCTTATAAATCCTAAACTATTCAATTACAAAAAGGGGGACAAGAGCAAAAATCAATAAGCTCCAAGCAAACAAAATGGCGTTTTGGGCTAGGCATCACTAATTAGCATAAAAAAATAGAAAAGATATCTCGAAAATATGGATACTACGCGATTTATTTTCTATATTTTCGGAGTTATTATGTTGCAGTTATCGAAGGTAATATGAAAATTAATGCAAATGACGGAAATTTCCGATACTAATTGGAAGCCGAAACAAGATGGATACCTCACAAAACTTTTTCGAAAAAAAAAACTGTCCAATCAAACTGTTCAATGCAACGTTAAAAATAACATTCAAATTACGAGTCTGCATATACAAAAAATATAGTCACTCACCTGTCCGCCAGGTACAAAGTTGTTAGTTACGACAGGCCGACGTTGTCCAATACTACCCACCGATTGAACCTGGGGCTGAGATTGGGCCTGGGCCCCCTGTCCTCCTAAAATGATACACGTTTTGTAATAATGTTTCTTCAGAATGCATTAATGCAATGTGAATAAAAACAAAACGAAACATACCAAAATTGCCGGTTCTTCTGGTGTTGTAGGACATGATGGAATGAATCTAATTCAAGTGATGTTCACGATGGTAGGTTTATTTTACTGAACAAACAGCAAAAAATTCGAAATAAATGGAATTTACTACGAAAATATTAATTACGTCGCACAACCAAGTTGCTCACAAAGATAGACAACGAGAAAGACGAACGGAAACCTCCTACCACTCCAAACAAACGACGCACTACAACAAGGAAGTGACGTTTTACTACGTGCATCAACACACTTCTTACATACTTTAATTCTTCAATTCGATAATGAAAAATAATATAATATATACGTATCAATTAAACCTGCGATATTTATTTGTATGTAATACATTCAATTTAAAGTCAATCTATAATGTTTTATTAATTATGTAAATGAACAAAAGGTGTCTTCACGTTTCTAAGCATATGGTGTCTTTTATTCGATCTATAATAGCGTGTTCCAATTACCTAAGAATGTACTCCAACAGCGTTTTCGACTTATTTGCATGTCTGCACTGAGAATATTTCCACATTTTATTATTCGAGTTGATAATGTAGAACGAACATACATTAAGTGCATACTAAATGAAAAAGCGCAAACTTGAAAACGCTGTTAAAATGGAAAGGCGTGTTCACGGTTCTTAGTGCGTGAAATCTCATTCGATTTAAGCTTGCGTGTTCCAATTTCGAATTTACTCGAAATAGAAGGCGCGTAAATTTAAATTTCGATGTACAGAAATAATTTCAATTTTCAGAAATAACTTGCGCAAGTAATTTATTGTATAATCATATGTTCCAAATTTGAAAAAGACTAAATAATACTTTAGTATTATTCAAAAAAGTAAAATTCACTGCTTCAGAAGAAAAATATAAGCAATTTATACATTAAATTTTTTTTTTCTTATATTTTATTCATATACTGTTGTTTATAGTCGTATACACTATAAAAATATGTTGGTGATATGATACTATGATCTAATTAATTCTCTTTTTGCTCATAAAATTAATTAATATTTACACGAGATAGGATATCTACTGTTAATTAACGTTTAATCAAATCAAATATCTTTCACAAATAAGTAAGCAGTCTACCTGTACTCTCAAAAAGCATTATGAAAGTACCAATTTGTATCATTTTAGCAATATTGACTAATGCAAAAAGTGATATCGCTTCAAATGAAGTCATCAAATATAAATTATACAAAGTTTTAGATTTTATCGAAGAAAGATATGAGGAATTTCATTTTGATGGCCTATTCGGTGTGACTTTTGCACATGGTAGGTAAAAACCAATAAAAGACTAGCAAAACTACCTATTATTGTAGTAATGTTGCTTGTTGAAGAATTCTTATTTTGTTCCAGCATTTTTACTAAAATCTCTCAAACTGCGTACAGAGAGCACAGAAAAATTAGATATAACTGATTTAATGACTAAATGTAGTGCAATAGAAAACAGAATATACCCCTTGCTGCCCGACCATCCAAAGTATATGATAAGTTGTAAGTGCAATTTCAAATTATGTTAATAAGCTGTTAGTATATTGAAGCAAAATTTTCTAGCTTTTCTTTCCAATGTTGTTATTATTGATTGTTATCAGATCGTTAATTGAGATTTCTTAACGTTTCAAGAGTAACCAAGCCCTTCTTCAGCTTCACTGTTTTGTCTGAAGATGAGAGTGATATGTCTCGAAACATTAACCTATACTGAGGACATGAAAATCATGTAACCGTTTCAATTTATAACTAGGTACCCTACTTTTTAGTTCGCAACAATCTTTTAGACGTCCAAAAGTGGAACGAAATTTTACCAGACGATTTTGCATTCGGCCAGATCAAATATCTGGGATACTACAAGAACTGGACTGCCGACACGATAATCCAATACAAGAGGGCTACCTACAAAGGCGTAAAGTCAGACGTTTGTCTACGTGAAATTTTAGAACAGTCTGAACCTAATCGACGATGTTACGTCAGTTCTATATGTGAGGAAATGATGTGGGATACACGTCGAGTCGATACGGGATATCTGTTAACGCACAGGCAAGTAAATGAAAGAGTAAGTCGGCTTGAATTATATGGACCTATAAAATTGTAGCGGTGATTCTCCGAACAAGACTTATTCGTAATTTTACCCTCAGTGCTTACCTTTGACCAAAGACTACAATAAATTCACCGAAAATTAAACATAAAAACAGCCCCCCTAAAAGTACAAAAAAAATTGAGTCGTATAAATTAATTGTAAATGTTAACATTTTCTCTTTCTCTTTCTAGTAGTTTTTGAACTGAGGGATGCACTTTTCGAAGAAATGTTGTTTGGTACTCGATTACAAAATTCTTTTACATTCTCCAATGATTTTTTCTGCTCGCTATTGCTCGCAAAAAAACTTTAATTCTCGAATGCAAGAATAGCATTTCACAATCTAGTATAAAAAATAACTATTAATTATAACAGAATAATCTCTTTGTAGATAATTATTTAGCGCTAAATTGTAAAAATATTTCAACTTAAAATGAGATAGAAGGGTAGCCCCATGAAAAGTGGACGCAGTGTTTATTTTTTTTATTTATTTTACTTTTTTTAGATTATTGTACATGCAAATAATAAGATTACATGATTGTATACCTCCGAAAAAGTATGGAGACATGTCTGAGTTTTCGAGAATTTATTGTTCGTACATTTATAAGGAAGCTAAAACAAGCGAAAGGCTGAACTTTCCGCATTACGATATATTCTTGGAACAAGGTAAGGTTTTTAAAAAAATACGGATCTTATTCAACCATACGAGTAGTAGCTTTTATTTTGTTTTGTTATTAACCAACCATCCATTGTACAGGATGTAATACTATAAATGTGTTAAATATAAAGGAGTATTTTTCTCCTCTAAAGAATATTTATTTTAAAAATAAAAAATGATGTCTAAATATTATTAAAATACAAAAACTCGTCCTTAAATATTGAAATTGTTCAATAATGTAATCTTACTAACATTGTCCCTAAATAGCCACGATAGAAATATTTCACTATTTCATTTCTACATTTTACTTAGGATCCCAATTTAATTTTTATTTCGGGAATTTCCTTCAAAAGTTTTTCGTTATGAAAGTTCTCGATATGAGAAAGAAAAATTTCTGTATTTTGATGCACTTGCCAACACTCCTTTTTTAGAAACTTGAACACAATATACCAAAAAAAAAGGAGAGCAAATATTTATGAACATTTTTTTATGTCAAACAAACACCCTTATCTCAAAAACGATACAGGTAAACATTTTTCAATTTGGACATGCACTCCTTGATATTTGACACCCTGTACCGTTACGCTCTGTATTTTCATGCCGTTACAGTCGTATTATGTGGAATGGAAGGGTACGCTGAATTTTTGAACCACAAATGGCTGAAACGTATAATAGAGTGGCAAAACCCCCACGGTTGTTACGAGAGCGTCAAACAAAGCGTAACGAGAAGGACTAGCTTCCAGGTAGATTACGGTTGTTCGGACCACACCACCGGACTTGGAGCCGCAGCTTTAGCATTATATTTGAGATACGAGTATTTCCTAAAGAGTGTTTCCTTGTATGAATTATTTGTATGAGTGTTTATTAAAAAATAATATAAATATATGTAGTTCTCAGCAGAAATATGTGTGCTTTTGTGTTAATTTAGAACTGAATAAAAAAAGTCTAAGTATTAGAAACGACAAAGGAAATTATTTGGAGAAAATTAAAATGGAATTTTATATTTGTCTAAATTATTGTCAATAGTTCTATAACATTTATTTTCTGGTACATACCTGAAGTATTGATTTTTTTTTGTAATATGACAAAACAAATTCAATGCTTGAAAAAATTATAATTTATTAATACAACTATTTTATTAAAAATTGAAGACATACTATTTTCTATTTTGTTACCTGCATTTTTGGTTGTCTACACATAAGGATCAAATTATATTGGTTGCCTATACTTAGGGATCTAATGTTATTAGACCCTGAAGTGTAGGCAACCAATAAAACAAAATGCAAAATTGAAAGTTGCATAATAACGAATTTTATACTTGTTTTTTTAAATTACTTCCTCTTCTTTCTCATAGCGCTTCTATAACATTTCATTCCCTGACAAACTTCGCGCCAGTTGATTTTTACCTACTTCTTCGCATATCAGTTTTCTTCTTCTTCTGAATTATGTCGCTCTCTTGCTTCCTGCATATTTTTATTATCAATTTTTCAGTAGTCAGCACTAAAAATAAGCGTAATCTATTATGGATTGCAAATACCAACATATTTAACCACCATAATGATAAAACTTTGCTAGTGGCTTGTATTATGTAACACAGGTTTTTTAGTGTAATTTTTTAAGTCATAGAGGGTGTGGACAAATAAACAGGACGTATTTTCAAATAGTAAATAAAGCTCATTTTGTACTTAAAGTCATCTCTAAATTTAATTTCATTCGCATAGCATAAATAACAAACGGCGATAAAAATCAAGGTTATTTTATAGATATTTTTCATCATACGCTACTGTGTTGCTTTTTATCTAAAACTTTGGTAATTATGATACTTCAGTAAACAGAAAAGAGAAATTTTCGATTTAATATCAACGGCGATGTTTTGCCGTTGGGCGGTGACATCACTCTTAAAAATTTAAACGTTACGAATATCTTAGCATTGTAAAATTGTTGTTTTATATTTCTGTTGTCAATCAGTAATAAAAATTTATACCCTTGATGCTCGTGTTGTCTGATTGGCCATCATGTTCTATTAATAACTACTTATGCTATTTAGATACGATGTTTTTGAAGAACAAACATAAATTCAGTTAAATAAGTAAACTACTGAAATATTATAACAGAAATGGGTTTTGTAAATACATAAATTATTGGTTCTACTAATTTTACAAGTTAAATACAAGAAAAATATGGGATATACAGGGTGGGTCATTTTAATCTATGCACCCGAACTTCTCCGTACCTAAGCGAGATACGAAAAATGGTTTAGACAGAAGTTGTTCAGGTCATTGGGGGTAACTAACTTTTCCAACAACTTCGACATTGAGATTCACTTTCAAGGTCATTTGTAGATCCGAGTGTTTTGTTCTTATTTAAATAGGAACCAATATTTTTGACACCGAATTCGAAGATTTTACGTCCGAAATCATATATTCAAATTTGTTTTCGTGACCCCGAGAAGGTTAATTCAAGGTCAAATGCTCAAAACTGCCTGGTAAGCTGTTTGAGTTTTCTGGCGGATAAAACGTTGTGAAGGCACCTTTATAGGAAATATCGAACTCATTTGTGACAACGACCTTAACAATGTTGACCTCGAGGCCATTTTCAAGGTCATTTGAATGTCAAGAGTGTTTTTATTAATGGAAAATTTCAAAAAAAGTGAGAAATTAACGTCATACTTGATATTTTAATTGCTGTTGTTGTTGTTCTGACCTTGAGATGGTCAAATGTTGGAAATTTGCTTGCTAGTCTATTTAATTTTTTGGGTAGATTTAACGTTATGAAGTTTGATGTACCTTTAAAAAGGTACATCAAACTCAAATTTGACAACGACCTTGACCTTCAGGTCAATTTTCAGGCCGTTTGAAGGCCCTGGTGTTTTTTTACCTTGAATTGACCTTTTCGAGGTCACGAAAACAAACTTGAAAATATCATTTCGGACGAACAATTTCCCGCTCTTTTTGAATCCGGTGTCAAAAATAGAGGTTCCTATTAAAAAAGATATATACTGAAAAACACAAATGACCTTGAATATTAATCTCAAGGTTAAAGCTAGTGGCACAAATAGGTGACTCCCATTGTCCTGAACAACTTTTGTCAGAACAATTTTTCCGTAATGTCGCTTAGGCAGGGAGAAGATTGAGCGCATAGATTAAAATGGCCCACCCTGTAGATACAGAAATGGCAAAATGGGGACGAATTTTTGTCCTAACAATTGAGTCTAAAATTATTTATTTTGAATAACGCTCCCAGACAGAAAAATACAATTATAGGGAACGGAAATACATAAAATTAGATTCAAAATGAGTAGAATAATAAAAAGACTTATATTTTTTAATCTGAATTAATCTTTAAATATTGAAGACTCCAAATAATATTCGCATATTCTAATTTTGACCTCACAAATGCACTGAAAAGTAAAGCAAGTAAAACTGTAGGCATCAAGCAGATGTTGCTTATTTTGCAAGCAAAAGTGAATTTTGTGTCAAAGATTACATCCTGGTCTTTAAACTGTGTGCATCTTTTTAACGTGGTAGGTATCATTTATACTGTAACTGTACTGAATACTGAATGCGAATAGTTTTCTTTGTAAAGCTCATAACATTACATTTAATGGCAATTTGGTATCATACGTTAATTTCTAACAAGCTTGCTACAAACTACAACAGTATTCTAGCACGTCACTTATGAGTTCAATAAATAACAGAGGCCCCAGTACTGGTCCATGGGGACCCCCTGATTGGAATTGATTTATAACTGCAATTCTGATCAGTTTGTTGTACCTATAACGTTTGTTGTTGTAGATCGACTATAAATAAATCCATATTGAGAATATGACATGGGAATTTTCACGGAAACAAGAGATGGGTAGAGAAAATCTGATTTTAAATGACGAAGGACTATTTCAAATTTCCCAAAGTTACATAGCATAACTTTTTGAAGATAGGGCATATTTTTTACTTGCACCAAATTTGAGGCAATGCAAAGGGACTGAAAGATAAATTAAGATCAATACTGAGTGGCATCCCTCATCTCATTAATGAACTCCTTGGGATTTTTAACGCTGTAGAAGACCTACCGCGAAATCGATCGCATTCCACAAACAACGACGGATAGAAACGCCGTAAACCATCTTCTAAATTAGGCCCTGCGACACGAGAATGCAAGCATGTGAGTTTGAGTCATTGTATATGCTATATCGGGGACATACGCCAAATCTACGTCCATATAAGGGAACCATTTTAAACGTTTCATTTCCACTACGGGTGTCGTTTCATGGCAAGTGAGCACAGACGTATTCCGATATAAGGCTTCGTTATTGACTTTATAGGAGACTCTCATTGAGGCTGCACTTTACAGATGCTCCCATTCGGGCCAGTGACGTAAGCCCAAATTTTTCCACGAGGGTCTGGTATTTGTATCGATAAAATATAAGCTCAATTTTGCAACAATCCTCGGTTAAAGTAAACATTGATTTGTACCGTTTGATAAACTAAGTTTAAGCTTTTATAAGACAGCCTTATTTTAACATTTAAAATTTTTGCAATTCTTTTCGTCTTCTTTTTATTTCCATAAAACTTTTTCCAAACCACATCTCTTTAGAAACTGTCAAAAACAAATATCGTTAAATTCGGTTTTCAGGCTTTGTTCCTCTTTCGTAAGGAAATATTTTTTTTATTCGCAAATTAGGTAACGCCATATTTTCTTCGTTCGAAAAATTTGCTCTTCTCTTATTTTAAATAATTAATCATTAATAATTTAGTTTTATTTATACAAATATCGAACTTTTAAATTTCCATACATTGAACATAAATTTTCAAAAGCGGATATCAGAAATGTATATTTACAGTTAAAGTTATGCTAATATGAACTAATTTCCGAGTAGTAGTTCATTTTAATCGTTTAAAAAAGGTGGCTGAAAATGCGCTGTATCAAAATTAAAGACACAGTTAAACATATCAGTTAATTTAACAAATCCGGCCTTACATATTTTTCTATGCACAGATTTAATCGTATTATTAAGCATTTTGATCATTTTACTTATTTGTGATAAGATTTGAATTCAAACTGAGTACTTTCACTCAAATATAGGTACCTGTTAAATAGATTCTGCAGATAAACTCGTATTCGGTGCACTTGTAGCCAAATCGGAGTGGCGCCACCCCATTCTATGGTTGTCGTGCGTTGTCTTTGTCTATTCCCATCGTCCCCATTAAGTCATATCGTGGTGTGGTGTATGGCGTGTAGTGCTGGACAAGTGTCAGTATTAATCCGGTTATTTTGGTGAAAATAACAACAACACGGATTTGAGTAAAATTCACTCACTTCTGTTGCAATACTTTCACTCATAAAATTTTAGTTATACTTTTAAATTTTTTATAAGTTTTTTATGTAATATATCGACAATTCCTATACAGAAAATACTGTTACTGTTATTTTCTAATACATTTTAAAGCGACACCTTTCATGTCAACGTTTTATTTGTCGAAAGGCCATCTCAGTTTTAACATGTAATGTGGGATATTTTGAAAATCCCTGACGGTACGCCTATGGAAGTTTATCGTATTTAGCCGCAAAGCGAGCAGCAAAGCTACAGTGTTCGTGGTAATGACCATATAAGAAGAATATCATACAGTTCAGTCATTAACCTTGCCATATTGCGACCTTATGTCCTATATGGATTACTTGGAGTTAAATATGATCCATTTTCAACACAAAAATGGAGTGATAATATAATATTCCGAAATACGACACGACTTTGAAAAAAAAACAAAAATGGCGAATGCAGGATGTAATATATTATCCGAAGTTACTTATTTGTGGCTTCGTTTTAGTTTTTTACTTTATTTATTGGCTATTTTGTCAAATGGAAAAAATAGAATGTCAATGAATAGAAATAA